AGACCTTATTACCTAATAAGTTGGACAGGTGACCCTATTGCTTGTTATGTATCGAGACCATGTCACGTGACACAATGACATACCGTATTACCTAACTCACACCCGTTAAACCATTCGACCACCCAACCTCCCGTAAAAAAGGAGAAAATAGAACAAGTATGATAAAAGATTTACAGAAAGTCGAAAATCTCTGGATTAAAATTCAAAAATGAACACATAAATTATTCTAATAATGGGACAAAAAAATGGCACAATGCAAAGCTGTTCGCAAAGGTGGGGACTTATCCGACTTCTTTTGCGAATTCCTTTTCGTATCTTTCAGACAACAGTGAAAAGATAATTTAAGAAATATTTTATTCTTCGACCATTCTATCACAATCTTCGACTAATACGAGCTTAAGTCAAGCAACATGCGAACTCTTAAATCCGCTCTGAAATGTTTCCTTTTTTTGGGTTGTCCATTCTGCAACAAATTTTTTAAATAAACAATATTTTATTTTCAGAAAAAGATAGAGGAACAGGCTAGGCCTATATATATTACCTCTCTCCTATATTATAGAAAATATATAAAAAAAGACAATATATCCAAATAATGATATAATCTTCAACTGTTACTTAAAGTAGTAAAATATTGTTATTTATTTATATAATACAACTAAGTTCAGTATATTGTTGTTTCCGTGGCGTTAAAACATGGGTGTGGTTCCCCCTTGTCAGTGATGCAGGACGGAGGGCCTGACAAGGACAGCTGTCTAGTCCTTCGGATGAGACGAAAAACCGAGGTCCCGTGTATACATTGGAATGCACGTAAAAGATTCCTTGGCAGTTTAAATACGATATGAGTAGGCCGTAGCGCCGCTGCCCGGGCAAAATTTCCTTCATAGCACACTGTATGGCGTATGCACGTCTTCATTAGCCTAGTTTAGGAGCAGAACAGTAGGACGTTAAAACCCATTTAATTTCATTTAATTTCATTTCATTGTTGTTTCCGTGGCGTTAAAACACGGTATATTATTTATCTATTTTGTTATTTCCATGGCATTAAAAGTTGTTTATCTATTTTGTTATTTCCGTGGCCTTAAAAATTATTTATCTATTATTTCCGTGGCGTTAAATCATGATATATTGTGTTTATCAACAAATGTACTGAATCCAACAAACATTTACCAAAATAACGCCCACTCGACACAAACTAGGTCGTTTCGGGACTAACATATGGTTCAGTTTTACTTCAATAATTTGCGTGTAAGGGTCTTTAGCAGTGGGAAGGAGGGGACCGGGGGATCGGAGAAACCCACGAGGATGGACAGGCGACCCTACTCCTTGTCGCGTACAACGACGCCAGTTGAGTCAATGACAGACCTTATGATACAACGCGCACACGCTAAACATTCGGCCATCCAAAACCCCATGATTTAAAGCTGATTAATGACAACAGATTATTCGTGCTAAACCTACTGAGAAGAAATAAAATGGAATTTAACTACTTGTCTGCACCGACTAGTCTAATGAAGAAAGGCATACGCCATACAGTGTGATATGAGGAAAATTGTGCGAACCATAGACCCCTGGTTCGGACAGCACGCCATTTATATTAAAACGATTAAAATCAATTTCGTTTCGTTTTATTTTCGATATTGTATTATAATGCACTGTAGTGTAAATTTAAGAAAGAAACAACTGAAAATGGGGGTGGGGTGGGGAGGGGGACTAACATATGGTTTTATTTTATTTAAATAATGCGCTTGCGCGTAGGGGTCTTTAGCAGTGGGAGGAAACCAGAGGACCCGAAGAAAACCCACGAGTTTGGACAGGCGACAATCAATACCGGATCATAAACTAATTAAAATTAATATGCATATTCAACATTTAGTACAATTATCCCGGCTTCCATAATATGTTGTTTATTACAAATTTAACGTCCGATACATAATACATGATACTATAAACAGGTTGATTTAATTAATTTATCAAAAAATAAAGGAGTAATAAAAAGAATTGGTAAAAACATAAAACAAAGTTCTTGTATATCAAAACGTCACTTTAAAAAACATGGTGTTAAAATTCGCTGACGTGTGAAGAGAGGGTGGATTATCTACTTATTGCCGCTTCAAAACTATACGATTACGAACCTTTGTACTTTCAAATGAAAACAAGACACACCCGAGAAAATAGTTGCATCAAAATAGCAAGAAGGGTTGGGATAAGGGGTTAATCCCTTTGGACACCTCCGGTCAACATTCTAGACATATATACGACGACTAACTTATTTCAACCTTCCAATCGTCAGAGGTAGAGAAACGATGTAGATCGATTTTCCGATCAATGTATATACCTTGGTTTGGTTGTTTGATGTACCTGTTCGATGTTTGACTCCAGGGAAGATCTGAATACCTGGATACATTTAAATGTTTGTTTTAACCGTGGAGAAGTCCCGAGGATTCCTCCCAGACATCGACATGATTCTAGTATTATTTGTACGTGAATGTAAAGGAGAGGG